TCCCCACTTACTTGTTTTTGTACCCAAAGCTGATCTGAGGTGCTTCTTTTCATCCTGAAAAAGTCTAATTAACCTATCATCTTCAGCTTCAAGGTGATTATTATTTATTGTTCCAACTAAATAGGAGACTACCGTATTTTCCGGCGTATAAGACGACCCCCTAATTTTACAGTTAAAACATAGGTTTAGGCCTATATTCGCTGTATAAGACTACCCCCCACTTCCGAGGCAACACCAGTTCTTTTTTTAATAGACTGCCTCTCTGACTCTGGCCAATCTGAGCAGGCTTTTTATGCATGCAAATTATACATGTTCTGTACCCAAAGCTACACTGTGTTCTAGTAAAAAGCCTGCTCAGATTGGCCAGAGTCAGAGAGGCGGTCTATTAAAAAAAGAACTGGTGTTGCCTCGGAAGTGGGGGGTAGTCTTATACAGCGAATATAGGCCTAAACCTATGTTTTAACTGTAAAATTAGGGGGTCATCTTATATGCTAGAAAATACGGTAAGTCCTCAACTGACAGAGGGCCTTGATGTTTAGCCATGCCAAGCACCAAGTCTGTCTGGGCTTTAAAAAAAAAATTATTGAGATATATTTTAAAATTAAGAATTATATTTATTTACAGTGTACAATTTGATCATTGGATATACATATACTAGTACATTGCAAAATAATCACCATTTTCAAGCTAATTAACATATTCTCACCTATGTTTTTGCATGTGTTTAGTGAGAACACTAAGATCTATCCTCTTAGTAAATTTCAAATCTATACATACAAAAGCTTAAGCAACCATTACAACCAGTCGCTATGACATACACTGACCACCAGGGGCAGATGCTTAATGCAGGAGCTGCTCCCTGATGGTTAGTGTGCTCCCACAGCCAGCCAACCTCCCATGGCCAGCCAACCTCCTGTGTCCCTCCCCCTGGCCAGCACCCTGAAGAACCCCTATGGGGGTTGGCCAGCCAACCTCCTGGCCCCAATAGGTCCCATTGGGAATGGGCAAGATAGTCCCGATTGGCCTGATCTCCGGCCAGGCCGAGAGACCCCACCTGTGCACAAATTTGTGCACCGGGCCTCTAGTATACAATAAAGTCTTGTTAACAATAGTCATGTTTGCTGTTCATTGGATCTCCAGAAATGATTCATCTTGCATAACTGAAATGTTGTACCCTTTGAACAACGTCTCCTCTGGCTGTGTATTTTGCCAGGATTTTGGTGAACACTTTATACCTTCACCCCAGCAATTCCCAAGTTGGGCTCTGGGGATCTCTGGCGTTCTGAGAGATAGCAACTGCAGTTCTAAAAAAAGAGGGTCCCAGGAACAAATGAGTTTGGAAGTGTTTCAACCTATATTTCCCTCTTGGAGATATAAGATAAATAATGTGAATATGTATGTATTTATAAATGTTTAATTTTGTTAAACTCAGTCAGTGTTTCCAAACCTGATTTGGCATGGAACCTCTATTCCTAGACCACCACTCACATCTCAGAGGACATTCCTGTTCTGAGGAATGTTGTTAGGCAAATTCTTTCTTACCTTCCTGTCATATACAATTAATAACAAATAGTTATAAGAGTGAGCAAGGAGAGAGATATGCATATAATCTCTCTATGACCAGTTCTTGGGGGTCAATAGTGAAGAAGAAAATATTTTTTTATGGAACAATAATAGATTTAAAGCCAGAAGACTTATGATTTAGTCCTAGCTCTATGACATAGCTACCTTTTACCTCTGAATCTCAGTCTGCCTTCCTATAAAGGAGACACATTTTAGGATAGCTCTACCCCATTCTTTGAAACAGCTGGCCAGTTTAGGAAGTTTTATTTTTAATGTATTTTTTTATTGATTTTAGAGAGGAAGATAGAAATATCAATGATGATAAATGCTCATTGGTCTGCTGCTTTCTGCACACCCTACTGGGGATCTGGCCCATAACTCAGGCATATGACCTGAACAGAAATCGAACCACAATCTCCTGGTTCATAAGTTGACACTCAACCGCTGAGCCACACAAGGCAGCCAGGCAATTTAGAAAATTTCTGTATAGCAGACTTAACTTTTATTTTAAAAGTATTCTTCTGGCCCAGCTGGCATGGCTCAGTGGTTGAGCATTGACCTATGAACCAGAAAATCGTGGTTCAATTTTTGGTCAGAGCACATGCCCAGGTTGTGGGTTCAAATCCCCAGTGGGGGACATGTAGAAAGCAGCTGATCAATGATTCTCTCTCATCATTGATGTTTTAATCTCTCTCTCCCTCTTCTTCCTCTCTGAAATCAATAAAGATACATATATATATATATATATATTTTAAATTAAAAGTATTCTTATGGGTGGATTTTTAGGCCTACTATTTGAAAGTCCTCTTTCAGGTGACTGGTGCCTTCAGTTCTGTAAATGTAGGTATCTGGTGTGTTAGACATGAAACTACAGGCTCTCTAAGGCCTGAAAAGCCCAAAGAAGTATTTTGGAATAAACAATGGAAATAAATTAAGTCTGAGATATATTTATCTTAGCCTAAGTAGTAGGATAATATCTTTAGAAGTTTTATACAAAATGGAGGAAGTTATAAGTCTGTAATATTATAAATAAGCAATAAATGAAATTTGAGACTACTATTTGATACTAGATTCATTGGCTTAGTTTCTTCTCACTCCATTTCCAAAGATAGAAATTGATGATACAGAGGTGTACTGTGAAATTAATTCATAGCTTAAAACTAATTTACTCCCCAGAACAACATAGGAGAGGTAGGTAATAATCACTTCTGGGAAGGCTTGCCCTGGTCCTTCCTTTGAGGAAGACTTTCTTCTACTCTCTAACTCAGAAGGGAAAGATTCATTCCCAAACCTGCCCTCTAAAGGGAAGAAATTCCATTATGGTTTAATGTACATTTACAAATCTTGATTTTATCATTAAGATATGTCTGTTGAAATAACTACAGTAAAAAATGTAAAAACTGGATTAAAAATTCTACTGTACATTGAAATAACTAACAGATTTTAGCCTTCATCTGCTTTAAATTTTGATGTAAGCATTGATGACAATAAGTAGTTTGGGTTTAAAAAAGATAAGATCTTTGTTTTTACTATAGGTTAATCAAATGTTACCTTAGTCTCTCTAAGTGATTGCTGGGCCATTGTAATACATTCAATGTAATGTTTGCTAAGCAAGCATGCCTGCCATCTGGTTACTGAAACTGTATTTTTGCTACTTCATAGATACACATGGCCCAGTAGCACTGAGATGTAGGGAGCTGATATCAGCCTGTGGATCATTTCCAAAGCAATTTGAGAGTTCAAGTCATTCATTTGGTAACACCAAGTGTTCTCCACATAAGAAAACATGAGTCTAACTTATCTGTCTCTTTCCTTTCCTGGTATCTTTAAAAATGCCTATCATGACAGGGTGCTCATGGATTTACAATATTAAGCCAACTTTAGGGACCATGAAGAAAAATGGAAAACAGTCTGTGTGCTGTTTGTGCCACATTCTTTGGTTCTGGTGCCAGTGGCACCATTCCTGGTCTGCAAAGTGCACACAGAAGAAACAGCTGGATCATATGGCAAAGTCTATATGTGCCTATGGTAGTGGGGGGAAATTGTTTTCCAAACCAACCTTTTCACCAGGCCCCAGGCAAGCACCCCCCCATCCCCGCCACTCCCCCCCCCCCCCCCCCCCCCCCCCCGCCACACACACACCCAGCCAAACCAAAGGCACAATTACTAGCACTGAGTACAGTACCTGGGATAGTAAGGGCTCAATAAATGTTTACTAAATACTATCACCAGGGAAATATGCAAAAACAAATACTGCTAAAAGAGTGCTTCTCTTAGTCTATAGCCTTTGTACTATATGCATTAGATAGATGTATGCCTGACAGCTTGTCTGGGCTTTCTTAACCTTAATGCTATTGGCATTAGGGCTAATAGTTCTTTGTTAGGAATGGGAGAGGTGCTATCATGTGCTCTATTTAGCAGCATCCCTGGCTACCACCCACTAGATGCCAGCTGTGTCCCTCCCCCCAGCAAAAATGTCTCCAGATACTGCAAAATGTCCCGAGAAGGGAGATGGTGGCAAAATCAACCCTAAGTTAACAACCACTTATTTAATCTGTGTATTTATGACATGTACCAAAATTAGAAATTTCATACTCTTTCTCTGCTCTTTTTATAAATCAATATTTCTGAAGGTATTTTATTCTTTTAATCTGCTTTCACCCAATTTTCTCTGAAATTTTTCATGTATCTGGAGGTACATTAGGTACATCCGTATAAGTTTAAAAGACCTGTTTCCCCCTTAGGAGAACAGAAATATGAAACAAAGAGAAATCACCCTATACAGAAAAGGGACTAATAGCTAAGGAGAGTGTTTCTGCAGCATGAAATTGAGATGATATTGGGCCCAGGATAGACCCAAGACCCTGAACTGGTGGAGGTATCTATGAGTACAAAAATAACTTTTGTATCTTAAAAAAAACAAAACTACCTTCATTTGTTTGCTGTGCACTCTTATAATCTTAACAACAAAACTCCACTGTTATACAAAGTATCCTTCTGACAAACAGATTTTTTTTTCCTCCCTTGGCTTTATTTTTATTTACTTCCTATTTATGTTAACAGTTTCAGGAAGATACCAGCATGGGCTCCAGGAACAGGCTGTCTCAGTAACTTCTGCCTCCTCAGAGGCACAGTAAGTAGTCCTACTGACTGATTAAATTATTAGCCTTTCAACCTCTGATGATATTGGGGGGAGGGAGGGGGAGAAAAATTAAAGTCTTAGAATTCTGACTTAAACCCAGTCAGTGGGCAACCTGCTTGAAAATGACTACATATCTACGTCTAAGGGTGAGAAATAATTTATGACAAATAAAGCTCATGAAAAATTCTAATTTCATTCATGTTGCTACAAGTATACCTTCATACTTTTAAAAAAATGTGGGCTGGTAACATTTTTGTACCTTACGTACAGTGTAGACTTAAACGTGGGCCCTTACCTCTCCTCCAGTGCACGGGAAGGGACTGGAGTATCTAGAAGTGCAAATAGCTCCCTTCTTGACAACATCATCTTCCAGGCCAAAAGTAGCCGAGCAGTTAGCTGCAAAGTACTTGTAAGGCTTCCATGTCTTCCCAAAGTCCTGGGACCGGTCCAGCACCATGGCTGCCGGCCTGGGGGACTTGAACACCATAATTAGATGAGTGAAGTAGAATTCAGCTTCCAGATCTAACTGGATCTTTTCTCTGTGCACATCCTCAGCAGACTGCCACCACGTGCGAGGAAACCTGAAGGACGAGTCTGCCATGGCAGCTGGCAGGTGAGCCAGGTGAGGCTGAGCAGCATTGCATTTGTCACATTTGGGCTGCCGACAAGTCAGATCAGTGTTCTCGCTGTAGAAGCAGTACAGCTCAGTGGCGTTCTGACCACAGGTGGTGTCTGCCCAGAGTTTTCTCCCTAAAGCCAAATTTCCCATCTGAGGGTTACAGGCTTTCTCACAGCGGGAACTCATTCCAGCTACTCCACTCAGCCCTGGGGAAGGGAAAGCATATGTTATTCAAGACAAACCCATCTGGAAAGCTCTGCTGACCACCTAGTCCATCTCCAACCGTCAAGTTATCTCTAAAGAGCTTGAGACTTTCAGTAAAGAGGAAATCCTACCAAATTTGAGCAGGAATACTATTCTGTACTTAAACCTCATTTGTGTATGCAAGTGTGTGTGTGTGTGTGTGTGCGTTCGCATTTCATGCTCAGATGCAAAATTCACATGAAAGAAAAAATCACTTTAGGGAAAGGGCAAAAGGAAGGAAAATGGGAACATCGGGGTAAAGATAACAGGCTTAATGCTTTCTAGTACTTTGCTTTCTAAACATTTTCTATATTTGAAGTATACTTATTTGTTTTTGATGTCATGACTTAAATAATATCCCAAACAATAATGTGTTTAAGGTAATTCAACTTAGTCTTTTAAGTATAATTTGAGTCATTAGCATTATCTAACATATTTATGAGAATGCATTAAGGAGGAAATGTTGAATCTATTACATTTTAAACCAAAAATATGAAGGGACAGCCCTAACTAGTTTGGCTCAGTGGATAGAGCATCAGCTTGTGGACTAAAAGGTCCCAGGTTCGATTCTGGTCAAGGGCATGTACCTTGGTTGCCGGCACATCCCCAGTAGGGAGTGTGCAAGAGGCAGCTGATCGATGATTCTCTTTCATTGATGTTTCTAACTCTCTATCTCCCTTCCACTCTGTAAAAAATCAATTATATATATGACACCTCTTTTAAAAAATATGAAGGGACAAATTACCTTGGAAAAGCAATGTGAGACATTTAATCATTAGACAATGGGATCACATTTGGGAGGCAAAGCTAGAAACTTTGGGCACTCAGATGTGCAATAGCTATTTTTAATATTAAGTAAATATAACCACGTAAAAAACCCGCTAAACTGCCAAATGGCAGAGAAGCTTATTTGACATGCTCTCTGCCTCTTGAGTACTAGGACAGGTTATATAGTAGTTACCTGTTTGCTTAACAAGAGAATGCTTACAGACTGGCTGCCACCAATAGCACCTTTAAACATTATCTGTGAACTAAAGCACCTTCTTAAAGAAATATGCAATTCCAGCCAAACAAAGCTCCAACAGACTTTAATGTTTCAAAATTTCCTAAATTGATAAACATTATCCACTTATTAACATCCTGAGTTTGTATTATTATCCTTTAATTTGGATTTCTTGTTTTAATTATGAATACCGTAAGTAAGATCATCTATTTTAAATATTAAGACAGACAGGGAAAGAAAGAAGAGGAAGTCAAACCCCAAATTCTGGCTAATTGAACGTCCGTGCTTCTAAAGAGGGAGCACCTCTGAACGTTATCACAGTTCTGTTGAAATGACAGCTTAGATTAAAACAGATATTTCACACAGGGAGAAGCAACAGCCCCGCATGGCCTTTGCAGCCAAAAGAAAGGGATTCCTTAGGCATATTCTCTACTTGTCACATCCAAGGGTGCCTCATGCCTGGACTCTGATAGCTGGGGCAACAGTTGCTTGTGGCCAGGATCACCCAAACACACAATGTGCTATGACTCACCTGCAAAGCATCTCAGGGAAAATCATATACTGCCTGTACAAGTATTTTTTACTTTAAACACTTGGCTTATGATATTTATTTACAACCTCTCGATTGCTTGCATGTTTTTTTTTTTTTTTTTCCATAACATGGTTTGGAAAGGGAAAGGTTTATTAAAGTACACTTTGTGGTTAGGAGAGCATGGATGAGTCCACACAAGGATCCATAGATAGGAAGAATTCAAGTAAAATCTTGGCCCTTTAAGGCTCCTTGGGTAAAGTATTGGATAATTTTCAATGCACCTACACTAACAAGAAGTCCAGAAAACACAGAAGCCAGGTAAATAATGGGTGGACAAAACACTTGGAAATCATCTCTAAGAAAGTGATCAGTCAAGTATATGGCAAGGATGCTCTCATGAGTCTGGCTGGTTTGGGATGCAGATTCTAGAGCCTGACTTTTACTGAGTGCCAGCATCTCTGGGGGCAGAGTGGAAGAAGTCAAAGGGAGAGGAAAAACGATGCTCACTAGCCACCAGTCTGTCCCTCCAGCCCACACTCTGTTCTGGAGCAAGCGAGATGTGTTTGAGAGACCCTACAGCTGACGAGTCCCTCACTTTCTTTCCCCCTAACACGCGGAGCTACACCTATGCCTAACTGGAAACCACGAGACCCTGAAGAGTGAGGGAGAGGAGCAGAAGAAGCTCCCACATTCAGAAAGGGCGAGCTAGGAACGGGTGGCCAAGAGTACCCAAGAAAGCCGGGATGGAAGTGGGAGGAAGAGCGCATCTGAGGACGCCCCTGCTGGCCTTCCAGTTCCCCAGACAAGGAGCAGACCCGCCTCCGACCTCCCGCGGAGCCTCGGCCAGGGTACCAGTTCCCGAGGGGCGGCCAGCCTGCTCCTTGCAACCCAGAGCGATCACCACTCTCCGTCCCAACACGGTCTCACTCCGTTCCAGACACTGCCCCGTGAGCAGGGCACTCACCTCGCCCCGGTGTCCCTACCTGGCTCCCGAGTACCCAGCAGGAGGTCGGGCACGGAGGCATCTCTCGGTGAGAGAGCAGCCCTGGCCCACGCGCGCCCAGGGTCGCTGGGCCACCCCTCCCCATCATTCCTCAGGCCATGAAGTGCCGGGGGATGGCGAGCTTGGTCCTTTGTTCCCTCACAAAGTGGAAAAGCAGTTGTTTTGTATTTTGTTTTTTTACTAACCCAAACCTAGAAAGAAACCAAGGTCAAGTATCTCAGGCTGGGTGCACCTATGCTATTGGGTTATCCAAGGGCTTGCGATTCGCAGTTGAAAAAAAAAAAAATCAATAGTATTTTAAACTGCGGAGACCGGCGAAAGGAGGCGGAACATGGCCACTCATTTCATCCCCGGGAGCGGAGCTCGGCGCTCCCGAACCGCACTTCCCCCTGCACCCCGAGACCTGAGCTGGAGAACCTAAGGCGCCAGGGAAGAGGGGTGGGGGGCCAGCCGCGTCACCACCCACCTGCGGCCACCGCGGAGCAGCCCCAGAGCAGCAGCAGCCGCGCGCAGCTCCCCATGTCCGGGAGGAGCCGGCAGGACCGGGGCCGGGCGGGTGCGGGATGAAGCGCCAGCAGTCCTGCGGAGGAGCCCGGGCTGCTCTCTTATTTCTTCCTTCTCCCAGGGTGCCAGGCGTGATCAGCGGTCGCCGGCGACCGGGGGCTGCGGGCCGGGGTCGCGCCGGGCGGCGGGGTGACCCTCGCACGCTGTCCTGGAGCGGCCCGGGCACCTCGGGAGCGGTGCGAGCCCCCGGACCATAGCCGGCCGGGCCGCGCTGCCCGGCTGAGCGGTCCCGCGGCTCCTCCGCCGGCTAGCCCGGGCTTGGCGCTCGCAGCAGCCGCCGCTGAACTTTGCGAGACCTTTCACTTCCCGGCCTCTGCCACCGCCGCCGTCTCCCTGGCGTCCTCCTCCGCCTCTCCCACCTCCTCCGGCTGCGGCGTCTCCGTCCCTTCCTTCTCCACGGGCAGTTCCATGGGATGCATTTTTATTGCACCGACACCGCGGCGCTCCGGTGCCAGCCCTCCTCCCCTCGCACCTCCACCCCTTCCTCCTCCCGCCCGCCCGCTCCCCCCCCCCGGCCCCCCCCCCCCCGCTCCCGCGCGCTCTTGACAGCCGCCGGGGTGGTGCAGCCCGCGCGGCCCGGTCGCCACCGCCGTCAGTCTTCCCCGAGAGGGATCCCTTCTGGGTTCAGCCAGCCGCCCTCCTCGCCTCGCTGCCAGCTTGTCCCGCCCGCCTCAGCCCCCCACGCGCGCTCGGCATCTCGGCCCCCAGCTTCCCTCGCGCCCCTCCCGGCGCTTGCCCTTCACCTCCCTGCGTGACCCCCCTGATGCCCTGCAGCACCCACAGGCCTCCTCTGGGAAGCAGTCTCCCACCTTCTCCCGGAACATTCCAGAGAGCAGTTGACTCTCCGGATCAGGTCAGGGCATGCCAAGGGGCTTAAAAAACCGCGAAACAGGCTAGCGCCTACTTCCCACATCCCCGAGCAAAACAAGCCCTCCTCCCTCTCTCCCCCTGCATCCCCGTCGCCCCTTTTCTGGGAGTCTCGGGACCCCTGAAAGGACTTCCCTCCACCCCACCCCTCACCCCAGCCCAGCCAGGGTCACGGGCATCAGAGAGCGCACGGACAGAGGGCTAAGTGTCGTTCCCTGCTTCTCTGCCGCCTTTGGGGGGCCGGGAGGACGTCTGGGCTGAAAAATCAATACTTACTTTATGCTAGGTGTATCCATTTTGATGTAAAAGGTATCCCCTAATTCAAACTCAAGGGTCACAGGACTGCCCCTGGGCAGTTTAAGAACATCGTTGTCTAGCGACAGGGGCATGACAAAGAGCACGTCTTCCTCGGTCCTCCCAAGCACTTTCACTCTATAGAGTGTGTTGTGCTGAGAAACAATAATGATGTGGAATGTTATGGGGAACATTTTAGTAGCAACCACAAGTAACTAATTGTGGAGAGAATCGCTCAAGGCTGCTGTTTATAAAGAGAATAAATAACACTTGAGTCTACGACTTTTGCAACTTCTATGAAAACATTGTTCGATGTACACTTCTAAAGAAATTGACAAAGTTAAGAAGAAAGCAATTTTATTGCATTGTTCATTTTGTGCCTTTGAATATTTTCCAGAAAATTAACTGCTTTACAGACACCATTCAGTTCTGTGTGTTACTGATGAGGACAGTGCAGAGCTTTGGGGCACATGTAGATGTTATTTATGACTCAGCTGGGACTACATGAGAAAATATCTCCCAGGAGGATCTGGGGTGAGATCAGCATCACCTATTTGGGAGATTTTAATGTAATCTTATGGACAACACTGGAAAGTGGCAAATAATATGAGATGGCAATTCATATAACACTTTAGAAAATAAAACCTTTGAGTTTTCAAATATTGGCAATATTGGGACTTTCTTCATTTTTTAATAAATATGCTCCCAATGAAGCTACTAAAACACCTCTCCAAAATATTCTTTTTACCAAATAAATGATAGGAATTATAACAGTCAAAAGCTCTTAGCACCAATATTACCTAATACTCAAAGCAAATTAAAAAAAAAAGAAAATGCACACTTATTAATTTGTGAGCTAATAACATATAGTAGTATATTAAAGCAAAACTCTACCTCTCACTGCAAGTTTCAAAACCATTTACTATCTGCATCAATCCTGCCTCACTAATACAAGGTTGGGCAAAAGTAGGTTTATAGTTATTCATATGGAAAAAGGCATGCAAGTTATGATTAAGTGTATGAAATAATAAGAAGACAAATAATACAATAATAATACAAGAATAACATATTACATGTAATCAGAACTGTAAACCTACTTTGCGCACCCCTGTATGTCTCCTGATCACACTATAACTGGTTCTTGTATCCTTAAACAAGACAGTAAGCTCCTCAATAGTAAGCCAATCTTTTATACTTAGTCTAAACAAAGCATTATTTTTCTTATATTCTTCATTGTTATTAATAGAGAACACCTGCTGGATATAGAATAAGTTTTCATTAAATGTTTTTGACAGATTAAGAAAACAAAACAAAACAGTGAAATCAGAATGATGCTCCATATTCTAAATTAATCTGTACCTTTACAACAATACTTTATATATAAAACAGCTCAGGAGAGAAAAGTGATTAGCATTCTAACCAATTTCTAATCAATTTTATTTGGTTAGGTATTCTAGTTTAGTTCTAAATTCAAATTTAATCTAATTCTAACTTAGATACATTTTCTTCTACTAAATAGTAATTTTGAAGAAGTTATCTAGGAAAATTTTACCTACATAAGGAAAATCTTACTCAGTGACAAGTTTATCAATGCCTATGATTGTGTTTTTTAAACAAACGTATGCAAGTTCAATATCAAGTTTCCAGAATGCTGCGTAATTATCAAATTAACCTAGAATATTCCTGAGAACTTGGAAGAAAGCTAAAAGGTCCTTTAAGAACTAAAATAAATGGTAAAATGTTGATGTAGCAAAAATCTTATTCATGGGAGAGCTCTTTAGGACTTCACTTAAATTATTCTTACAATGTTAATAGTTTGGTTATGCTGTTTTCCTAGGCCACAGCATATCTGTCTGTCTATCTGTCTGTCTGTCTGTCTATCTATCTATCTATCTATCTATCGATATCAAAGCCTAAGTAACTGTTATGACCGGAACAACTGGCTGACCAGTCGCTATGACCCACACTGACCCCTGGTGGCCAGGGCACTCCCACAGCCAACCTCCTGCAGCTGGCCCCTGAGAGACCTCACCTGTGCATGAATTCGTGCACTGGGCCTCTAGTTAGAAATAGCAAATTAGAATGGAGCGGGATGTCATTAAAACAAGGAATGAGTTGAAATAACTTGATAATAAGAAGAATGAGAGAACTATAAAAAGTAGCCATAAGGACAAAAAAAATAAAAACAAAAACCCACAGCAGTCTGAGGCCTTGCAGTGCAGAGGCAAAGCACAAAAGGCTGTAAAGGTATCACTCTGTTATACAGTAACTTGGTGCACTGTGTAATGTTCCTAATGGATCATAGGGTAAGAAGTTGGGGATCCTTGAGTCCAACTTCTTACCCTATCAGGAACTCTCTGCACAAAATCTCTGTCCAGTGGTCATGCTGTTTCTGTTCTAGAAATTTCAGTAAATGAAAGCCTCAAAAAGCAGCCCTTTTCATTTTATTATAGTACTGTTCTTATTTAACTGTGACATCTCTTTTCTTAAAATTCTACCGTTGTTTACAGTTTAGTTGTTTGCAACTATACAGAATAGGTACGATTTCTTAATAGGTATTCAAAGTTGGTTTTAAAAGTTAAATTTATTGGGGTGGCATTGGTTAATACATTATGTAAGTTTCATATGTACCGCTCTATAGTACATCATCTTTATATTGTATTGTGTGATTGTCATCCAAAGTCTAGTCTCCCTTCATCACCAGTATATTTGACTTCCTTTACCCTCTCCATACTCTCCATAACCCTTTCCCCTCTGATAACCACCCTTCTGTTGTCTGTGTTTTTTAGTTTGTTTTGTTTATTCATTTGTTGCTTTCTGTATTATATCCCACATATGGGCGAAATCATATGGTTCCTGTCCTTTTCCATTTGGCATTTCACTTAGCTAGATATACTCAGAAAAAGTTGTCACAAATGGCAGCTTTTTATTCTTTCTTTATGGATAAGTAATATTCCATTATATGTATATATCTTCTACTTTTAAATATATTTTCATTGATTTCAGAGAGGAAGGGAGAGTGAGAGAGTGATAGAAACAAGAATGATGAGAGAGAATCATTGATCAGCTGCCTCCTACATGCCCCCTACAGAGGATTAAGCCCACAACCTGAGCATGTTCGCTTGACTGGAATTAAGCCAGGGATTCACTCCATAGGCCAAGGCTCTATCCACTGAGCCAAACCAGCTAGGGCTACATATATCTTCTTTATCCAATTATCCATTGAAGGACACTGAAGTTGTTTCCATGTCTTGGTTACCATGTATAATGCTGCATGTTTTTAAAGATTTGAAGTCAAGTTTTGTTATTAGTTTTTTTATTCTCACCAAAGATATGTTTTTATTTATTTTAGAGAGAGAGGAAGGGAGATGGAGACAGAGGGAGATAGAGAGAGAGAGAGAGAGATACATCAATGTGAGAGAGAAGCATTAATCAGTTGCCTCCTATATGGGCTCCAACTGGGGATCAAATTTGCAACCTAGGAATGTGCCCTGACTGGGAATCAAACCCACAGCCTTTTAGCATATGGGACAATGCTTCAACCAACTGTGCCACCCAACCAGGGCTTAAGTCAAGTTTTATTACTCCTCTTAATTAGTCTCTTTTCCAAGTGTTTGTTCAATCATCCATACAGCATGATTTCCAAATCTTTCACCATCTTAATCATCTCCTTCAGATATACTACAGTTTTTCAATGTTGCTTTTATACTGTGCATCTGGAACACTCAACTTTACATTTGTCTGGCTACATGTAGAATAAAACAGAAATAGTAGTTCCCTTAACTTAAGTCTAGGACTTCTATTGCTGTAGCCTTAAAATGCATTAGCAGCTTTGTGATGAAGCAAACAAAAATCCCCTTTTCACATATTGATGTCTTAAAGATCATTAATAAAAT